GCAGGTTTCAGGCAGGTTTCAGGCAGGTTTCAGGATTTTAAGTTAATTTAGGAGTGACCACAGCGCACTGTCATCTGCGATGTGTCTGTCTCACGGCCAGCACCCAGGTTTGATTAATACTTTGTAATAAAGACATGAATAAAGCACAGTCATACTCAGTTTTGCCCCCGCTGTATTTTTAAATACGCAGTAGAGGTATTTAAAGGTAGTAGAGGACATGTACCTGTATATAAAAAACGCGCCCTATAGTCCGGTGCGCCTTATGTGTGTGTTAAATACAGAAATGGGACACATAACTGAGACTGCGCCTTTTAGTACGGTGCGCCTTATGGTCGTGAAAATACGGTATCATTAATCAGGAATCAAAAGTACTTACAATCAAAATTTCACAGACCAAATGTTTTCACCCAAGACTACAGTTTCAGCATTTGACTACAATTTCGGTTTCATCTTATTAAAGGAGTGCTGTTTTAGTTTCGTATGCACACATAATTTTAATTTATCTTTGTCATATTCATCTACTCTCATTCCCACCTGGATGCCTCCTACAGTTAGTGTGACTGCTCATCATGGATAAACCATTCATCCAACTTTACCAATCATTCAGTTGCAGTGGATAGGCCGGGCCGTTCTCCGCCAGAAAACCCTGCCTTCTCTTAAAGGTAGTAAAAACTAGGGTAAGCCCAGGGAAATCCCACTCTCTGCCAATATGAGCAAGAAAACCCCATTTTGAATCTGACAGTTATCATTACAAACTAATTAAAGAACCTTTAAGTCAATTGGGTTCTGTGTTTTTCTATGTCAAAGTGAAAGTGGCATAAAACCTAATCTTGGTGGGTTTGGACCAAAATTTTTCTATGCTTTTCATCAAAACAAATTAAAATTAATCAAACACATAAATCGAAAAGTTAAAAACCAGAATTATCCTGGTCTTAGTTAAAGGCAAAAGATGAACATCACTGATGATGATGAATTATTTCAGTGTCTCTATCCTTCTTCAATGTAATACATTAACCAAAGTCTCATATGGTCTCCTCCACCTACCCTTTGGTCTCCATGCTGTCCAAATGCAGTTAAATGATGAATCCTAGTGCTGGTTCATGGTTTGTTCACAACACCTTCCAGCAATCAGTCCATCTATGATCTTCCAACACATAAGAGGGAAATTACTGTTCTTATCAGGATCAGCACTGTCTTTACAGAGTAATTCATCATTTACTAAAAATTTACAAATTTTTTTTCACCAACCTTAACCCTTAAGTGCAGTCACAGCCAGATATTCTTATCCACAATTACTTTCAGTCTATCTCTAAAGTCTTCATTAAAAGCATTATATTATGTTCCGCCGTCCGAATGTTTATTCAGCAGATTGTTTGAGGTTCTAATCAGAAAACTTCAATCATGTTTTACCTTTCAGTGCCTGGCAGTTATAAGTTATCTGTAATAGAATGTACTCAGCCTGAACATCTCATTGATGTTTCAGCTCATTATTTTGTGCATATAAGCTCAAATTACTGCAACTAATATTTTTAATCTGAAACCTACAGCTCATCACAGCATATTAAGTTCAGGTTCTTCAAAAACTATAATTGAATTTTTTTTCAGTTCATTCTTACCCGGTCCCTAATGAAAGTGATAAAAGTTGTTCTGTCTCTAAGAATAACCATCTTGGTGATGATTACCTCTTTAAATTTCCCTTTTCAGCCTTAGTAGCCTTGAATGATATTGTATAAAATAACCGAATTCCCATGAGGAACCTTGGGTGTCCATGTGTCTAAAACTATTACCCCGTTTACACTACCCTTAAAAAACTGAGCCGAGACCGGTCCGAGCTCAGTAACTGAGATAACTTGT